CTTAAGATAAACGTAGGGATGATAATGTAATAAACCTAACATAAACTAAAAATAATCTAAGAAAAGTTCATATATTCAGTTTAATTTTGTATAAGGATTTATTGTATATTTGTTTTTTTTCTTAATTTAATAAAAAAATGAATAATAAACTTAAAATAAACTGTAGGAATAATGTAAGAGGCCTAACATAAACTAAAATGATCTAAGAAAAGTTCATAGGTTCAGTTTTATTTTGTATAAGGATTTATTATTGTATATTTGTTTTTTATTAATTTAATGATAAACTCAAAATAAACTGTCGCAATAATGTAATTGGAGAGAAAATTTACTGGCAGAGAATCAAAATTATATAGAATATAAAATACTAATTGGGATTGGAGAGAGTGTAAAATTTAATTGGAATGGTAAATCTTAGACTCCTATCACGTACTATATTGGATGACTTCCATAAATTGATACTCCCTTCCATAAATTGATACTCCCGTTCTTGTGACATTAATTTTTCTTACAACCATTAACGTGGAATTAGTTTGAAGATTTCATTGTTATGCCAATTTCTTTTGGAATTCTCATAATTATGTACTTAAGCCCATTTTCAAAATGCCAGTGATTTATTGGGCCATGTAGCAATGAAATAGAGAAATCCATGGGCCATTCGAGATGCCCCAATTATTTTCATGTTATATTACACACTTATTACATGCAGTCACAAACTGCGCATCAATCACTACATGGATTACAACACACAACATTTTATTATGTACACAAGAATAGATGTATATGCACTTACACTGACGAGGAGTAGCTTTTTTCATTCATTTTCTTCCCGTCGTGTCCATTCTCCACATCTTGGCCACCATCGCTTGTCGAGTCACATGTAAAATGGGATTTCAAACCGATCCAGCATTGATAGTAATTGTGGTCCATATCGGGAGACTCGAGTGCCCACGGGCAGACCCTAGGCATTAGGCATGACTCGAACATGAAGGCCATGGTGTTAGAAATTCTTCGTGGGCCCACATCATTTCCGGCTATAGTAGCCTGGTTAATTTTATTTTGTTTATAATGTTTAGTGAGTTATATTTTAGCTAGAAATTCTATTATGGTCGTCAAAAAAAGTTGATTTACTTACCTCAAATGTTTTGGTATCGGGTCCATGTGGAGTCATGCACGAGTGGAGGCTTGCGCCTCCGGGTAGAAATCCATCAGCTTTCGCCTGTAAGAGAAATTCGAATTATTGAAGGCCAACTAGGATAAATTGTGAATGCGTGCTTCCAGTTTATAAAATAACAATAATAATAATAAAAAAAAAAAAAAACTATACCTCATAACCTCCGTATATTAAGCCCATAAATTCGCTCATACAATTACGATGATAGTATGGGGGGCGGAATGTATTTTCAGCAACTAACCACCTTGGTGGGAAAATGACAAAATCGAGCAATGCCACACCGGGTCGCTCAGTGGGTGCAGTCAGAACTGGAATTAATAGAAGGGAATTTAGACCGCGAACCAAGGAGTCCCAATTTTAAATAATGAATATTGTTATTTTAATTTTATGACTATGATTAAAACTAGATAAATGAAATAGTTATCTTCTTAATTAAACCAAAGTTTTCGTATTAAGCAATAAGAACATAGCTATTAAGCAATTTATACCTGTATTTATAGAGGGGTCACCATGATCCACCAAAACTGTATTGTACGGGCAGAATTTGCTTAGATCATACTGAAAATATAACAGAAATACTTCATCAAGCTCAGAGGGATTATGATTGTTTGAAATCATTTTATGAGTATCATATAGTAAATAAATAAAGATTGTATGCCGGATTTTCATATGTGAAATAGATTGAAAAGGGTACTCACCTTGTAAGGGACATAATTTCCATGCCATGCTACCACATTGAATGGGGAGAAATCTTGTTTGGCAGTAAAAAGCTCACCGCCAAACTTCTGAATGATTGTATAACCGGGACGGGATGTACGCTCAAACCAGGCAACAGGAACTAGAAAATCCCTTGAAGCAGCAAGACCATTAGCTCCTATATCCAGAAGTAAAGGCCCACGATGAGTTTACATAGGACTTCAAACCAATAATTAGCAAATCCATTATGCTTGTGTGGTTACTGTAGATTTCAAAACCTTAGCCTTCTATTTCGAGCTTTATACGAGAATTATAAAATATTTAAGATTAAAATTATTTGGAACTCACCCTAATCAGTTTCAAAAATAAAAATTCAAGCATCAGGAACTTAAAGTGACATTCCTGAACAAGAGAAACCAAAATAAGATTAAAGTTTCAGAAGGACTTGATAAAACCTATGGGTCCAAGGTCAGGAAGTTGAAAATGAGTTCCAAATATCTCAGCTACATATCCCCTTGATGGCCCGTCCGGCAGATCAACGGCAAACCGAAATCCCTGAGGTAACACCACAATTTCACCGGGAGATACTTGCAATCTTCCACATTCGGTAGTGATCCACAGCCCTACATTTATACCGACAGAATACAGAATTTGATTTCTGTCAGTACCAAAAAAAAAAAAAAAATTGAATACCGTGCATGCAACTGTGGAGCAAACAGCAAACTTAGTCAGCAGACACAACATGAAATCAAGTTTTACACAAAAATAAACTCAAAACCCTCATATCTGTGGATATTATCATGATAGAGTACATGAGAAACACAGTAAACTGATGGAGAGAACAAAGTTAGAGAACATTTTAGCAATATCAAGGACATTAGAACTGGGAACTTGAGATGAGATTCATCCAGTTACTTCTTAAAATGCCATTAGTATCCATTTACCAAACGTGATTATTGATTAACGTCGATAAACTTAAAATAATATTTGCGTTCTCGAGCCTTGTGCCAAAATTGCAGTTTCATGCCATAATGATGAAATTATGGATTGTCAAGCATCACTTACTTCCTTCTTGAGGAACAACCAAAAAGTCTCCATCCGCACTACAAAATGCACAATCAACCATCGACTTGTTGGCAGTATACCTACAGTTAGACTAGCATTTGAGTCTCAAAAGAAAATGTAAAATCAGCTCAATCACCCGTTTAATTTAAGGTCAGAACGCATTAATCTAAGAAAGCTCTTTATATCCAAAGATACACGGAGGGGTAGGGATAAAGAAGCATACATAAGTAAAGAACATAAGAACGAGAGGGAGTTACATAAAGAACAATCAAGGAATGAAAAATAGCCAATTGAAAGTATATTGTAACTGCACTAACCTACACATATGTATAGATATATTTGTAAATAATCTTGCATACAGAGTTTACCACACCTAGCACAGAACATTAGCTAACTTTATGCAAGGCCCACGAGATAATGGGTGGGAAGTTATTACCAAATTGAAGGCAAACACTGCCCTTTAATATTCGATTCCTCTGGAACTACACACAGTAGGCCTTGGACAAAAAAGCAAAGAACTAAGCGACCTAATTTTGAGAAAGACAAAGCTACAAGTTTAATAAAACAGCTGAAGCTCAAAAACCTTACCCCCCGTAAACTCTAATCTACTAATCAACAAAAGATTCATAAAATTCAATAGAAATCTACACAACAACAACAACAACAACAACATAGCCTTTTCGTCCCAAGCAAGTTGGGGTAGGCTAGAGATGAAACCCAAGAGAACCAATGGTAAGAGAAACACAATAAAATCACACGGGAGAAATGGACACAGAGAAACATAAAACATGACGACAATAAAATCACACGGGAAAGTAAATTACATGTGAATCGCGAAACCATGCCGGAGGTAGGAGCTGCCAGCACCACACACAGTGTACAACCCATCGACGAAGTCGGTCGGCGACTCTGGAACCGGCGGCGGCTTCCACCGCAGCTGGGTCGGCGTGGCCGAGCTATTAGACTGGTTGAACTCGCTCACCAGCTTCTCGTGAACCGGGATTCTAGGCCTGAACGGCTCGTGCGTCACGGACGGCTTGATTCGGTACAACCAGCTGCACAAGCCAAAAAATCCCTTCCTCTAAATTAATCCTAAACTTCACCATGAACAAAAAGGGGAAAAAATATTAATATGTTACTGAGTATATTGATATAAACCTGCGGTGGTTGAGTTTACGGGGAGAGGTGAAGGAGGTGCCAGAGATCTGCTCGGCGTAGAGGCCATAGGGACAGACGAGGGGACTGTTCTGGCAGCGGGGGAGTGCTCTGGCGATCGCCTCGGAAGAGAAGTGGTTGTCGAAGCCGGATTGGTAGTCCAGCTCCGCCGGGAAAACCGGCCGCGCAGCGGGGGAGGTGGTCTTATCCATGAATGGTTTTTTTTTTTTTTTTTGTTCTTCTTCTTCGCAAATTACTAAAAGCTTTATCAATTAAGAATTTTCTGAAAGCAGAATCTGTGTGTTTTTTGCTTAGTAAAGTTCACCCGATGAGTGTACACATCTGAGAGAACATAATTGGTCACAAGTGTGCGAGTTGCGTGCACGCTTCAAGGCAAGGCTTTGAATTAACGACAAATATAGATAGACATATTTTCAAATATAAAATAAGGAGATGTACGGCTCTCCGTTGCGGAATTATTTCATAGAAATTTACAACTATTAGATCAATTATTCTCGACTATTACATATTAATTTAAAAGTTAAAAACACGACTATATAGTTTCGTAAAAAGAAGACGTAGCATTTCCCAAATAAAATAATGGGTGCTTATAAAAAGCTAATTTTATAAAGTTTTGGATGAGTTTTTTTTCAAATTGATTGAAATGGACATTTATTTATTATATTTTAATAAAGTGATCATTTTATTCAAGATTTTAAAGATTATGTTTTTTGTTGGTGTGGCAAAGACCGAATGACCCGAACTTACCCCATGACGAAACGAACGGACCGACTAAGAACAAGTCGGATAGGCTGAGGGACGAGCGTCGGGCTCAAGTGGGAAATTTATTCTCATCATTACAAAATCGGCCGTACCATGGGTATTAAATGCGAAGATCTTTTGGGACTGCTAATCTGATGGTGCGTAAGATGTAGGGGGACGTGGCGTAATCCGGATGAGCCATTAATATTGAGATTAGATTGTGTAGTACATTGGCATTAAATATAGAATGACTAATATCTCAAAAATATCTTGTAAAAAAGGAAAAGAAAATTGAGATAGGTCCCAAGAGGGAAATGTAACAAGTCCCTATACTCCCTATAGAAGGGAGTGGAGGACATCATTAAAGGCAATGAGTTAATGGTCTCATTAAATGCTAAATAAAGTCACGAGCAGAGTACCTATTCGGACCCATCAAAAACCGAACACCACATAAAAATTTTGTGTCGTGCAGATCGAACCGAGTACATATTCTAGTGTGCAGTTCGAACATATTGTTGGTCATATTAACATCAACATTTTTAATAAAATACATTTTTATTAGATTACATAATATTATTCTGTGGAAAAAAAGACTAATTAACATTGAAAATGAAAAATTTGGATAAGTCAACTTTATGTTATGGAGAACTTATCTTTACAGGTGTGTATACGTGCATGACCTGTGTCATTTTCTTGCTTTCCTAATCCTATTGATCGTCTAGCCAGACTAGGCTCCACCTGATTTTCTTCTAATTTTAGGTCAGTTAATGACAAATAAAATTAAATTTTATTTTTATTAATTAATATAACTCTTTGTTATTTTATATATATGGATGTTGGATGCTGGACGCATGTTCTTATAAGATAATTAAATAGTACGTAACTCGTGCGATGCAAAAGATGATATATTTGATTTAAATTTTTAATAGTGAATATTAAATTTAATGGTCTTGTTATGATGTAAAAAACGTAAACATGTCGGGCATAAATATAAAAATTAATGAGCTATTGAACACTTCTGTGTATATAACATTTTTGGTTTAATTTTGTAATGGTGGCAAGTCATCGTCACCACATACTAATATTTGGTGTAAACTTGTGATTGGTGTAGTAAGAGTTGTATTTTCATTATCGTTGTCACTCAAGATGTTTATCATGATGCTTTCCGATCCAATAATATCGGAATTATTTGAGTTTTTTTTTTCATGAAAGATGCGGTGACTGTTCATTCAAATAATAACTAAAAATATATAAATAACTAATACAATATAATTCATCGAAGGTGAGAATATCGTGATGTATATATAAAATAAAATATAATTAGAATATAAATGAACTACCATTTGTAATATCAGCGAATGGCATATGATTTGAATCATTTGATGAACTGCCAAATCCAATTATTATTTGTCATTTGCTAACAATTGATCCAGTGAGAAAATCAGGATTCATGTTACCAATATATGAAAGGTCCAAATCAACATTTAGCAAGACTATTTATAATCAATGTTAAAAAAATAAAGTTCATTAAAAAAAAATCAAAAATGATATAAAAAACACACATTATTTATTTCATAATATTATACAAATAAATTCAATTGAATGGACCAACACATTATGTAGCATATGTAAATTCATAAAAGTAGTAAGCCCAATATTTTTCCCACCATTCATATTCATTGAATGGACCAACACATTATATAAAAAAATGGCCCAATAAACCACATTGAGCAAGCCCAATGTTTTCCCCACCAATATTATGGTTGGCCCTTTGTTTTCATAAATTCTTTGCCCATTCACAAAGAAAAAAAGCCCAACCAAAATGGGCCTATAAAAAACAAAAAAATTGACCCCTATTAAATCGAATGGTCCCAGTTTTGACACGCATATTTTTATTCGACAGTCGTAATCAATACATTTAACATATAAAATCAAATTACACCTATTTGAGAGTTTCATTTCTTCTTCATTATCTGTCGCCTTCCTCACAATTATTAGGGTTTTTGCCCGAACATTAAAAAATTATTCGCCCGATCTTACAATAACCTTCCAATTATTTTAGTCGATGCGTCTGTATTTGTTTGTTTTGAATAAGACAATCTATGTTTTATGATTTTTTATCATCGTTTAAGCAAGGTTTCCGAATTACAGCCGCCAATATTAAAGGCCGACTCAATAGATCCGGAGGTAGAGCCACCGTCCGATAACATCTACAAGATCCGGAATAAGAACGGATCGAGGTCTATTCAAAGGCTAGTTTTAACAAACATAACTTAAGTTCGCATACATATGGATTGGTCTCTATATACCTATATGATAGTCTGTCAACAGGACAATCAAGAACTGCGTATGCGAACATCTCCACACTTACAACCATCTAATAGATTTAGTTAGTGTAGTACATGTCATTTGACATATAGTCAAACATGTGAAAATGAATACATGTTACATTAACATACAATATGACATAAAATTTGTCATAATCATGGTTTTATTATTTACATATCCCATCATTCTTAAAATAAACAATTATACGCATAGGTTTTTGTCATAGTTATGTTAAAGTATTATGTCAACATAGCTTTATTATTACACAAACATCACTTATAAATAAGAAAAGGTAGATTTATAAATAAATTTTAAGCACGTCAAAGACACTCTCAAATCAATATGTAGATTGTGCTTTAAAAATTATTCTTAATGAATTCGTTTTTTTATTGTAAACACTTAAGTTGGTAAGAAACCAATATCAACAAGTTCAGAGAGATAGAAATAAAAAAAATAAAAAATAAAAAAATGAGGACATCCCAAATTTTTGTATTTCAGCAATGAACAATTTAATTGAAAAATATGTATACTAAATTCTTAAATTAAATACTGAGAAAATGTATATTTAAAAGAAAAATAATGAGACACTCTTGAGTCTTGACTAGGGCTGCAAACGAGTCGAGCGGCTCACGAGCCGCACGCGAGCGTCGAGTCAAAGCTCGACTCGAGTTCGAGTTTGACCGAACTCAAGTCGAGCTCGAGCCCATATTTTGCATTGTCGAGCGGTTCGATATATAGATTAAATTGCTAAAATACCCCATTACATATATTTAAATAGTATAAGCCGAACATGAGCTATTGTATTTTCTTATCGAGTCGAGCTCGAGCCTCATAAACAAAGCTAGACGAAAGCAGCTAGAAAAAAATTCAATCCTGCTCAATTCGGTTCGGATCGTTTGCAACCTTAGACTTGACTCTCTTACTCCAAAAAAATAAAAAAAAAAATAAAAAAAAATCAATCAAATTAAATTGTTCCAATTTTCAAATATATTATAATCAATTTATTCTCCCACCTTTTATCATTATTACACCCACCCATGATTTTCTCGGGAATTACTTTACTCTTTCTTTTATTAGCGTGTTGCCACTGCGACAGCCCAAATATACATTTCTGTATTTTTGTCAAAAATTCAAAAATAAAAAATAGTAATTCTCTTCAAATCTGCGTAAGGTGTAGCGCAGATTGAAGATGGCGGGCGGATACCGGGCAGACGACGACTACGATTATCTCTTCAAGCTGGTCCTGATCGGCGACTCCGGCGTCGGCAAATCCAATTTGCTGTCCAGATTTGCTCGGAATGAGTTCAGCCTCGAGTCCAAGTCCACCATAGGCGTTGAATTCGCTACGCGCAGCATCCGCGTCGATGATAAGATCATCAAGGCTCAGATTTGGGATACCGCCGGACAAGAGAGGTAATTCGCTGTTTTTTGTTTCTAGATTTAGTTTTTAGTGAACAAATTCTGTTCTACTGTGCTGCTGTTGCTTTTGTCGCTATGAAGCTTTTGGAATTGCTTGCTTCTGTTCATATTTTTTTTATTTTTTATTTTTTTTTGGGAATTTTGAGCTGAATGGAGGGTTTTTACTTTTTAGGGTTGCTGTAGATTTAGCTCGTTTTTGGAAATTTTGGAATCGCTTTCATATGGAGAAAGTAATGTAGATCGTGTTGAGACCTGCATGTACACAGAACAAATACCAGATCCAGAAAAAATGTGCCTGGATTTCGGGGAAAGGCTGCTGGTTTAGGAAATGTAGGTTTTGAGGGTTGTCGAAAATTGCCATTATTGATTTATTGCGTCTATATCAAATGAAGGGCTTTGGTTTTCTGTAGAGAAGAGCATTTGGGGCAAATGGTAATTGGTAATTGGTCATAGTCTCATAGGTGCAGAACTTTTTCTCCGAATAATTATTTGAGAGGGAATCTATTACGAGGGTTGTAAGATGTGTGAACATTAGGAATGTTGGTCTTGCTGCAACAATTTTCAACGACAAATGTGATGAAATATTGACTGTATTTAGGGCCAGTAGCCTGGATTTGAGATACGAATGCAGTTTGATTTTCCTCCCGTATAATGTAATTCAAGTGACAAACTCTTGCCAAAAATGAAATGATCGATATGATTTTTGTTCCTTCACAGGTACTTGGCTATGCCACCCATGTGTTTTCTTGCTCTTATTAGTTTATAATGAAAAGATAACAGTTATATTTAGAAGGAATTTAGATTGCCGTCAATCGTCCATGTAAAATGTTCTAAATATAGTATTAAGCCAGTCAACCTATCTCAAGTTGTTTTAAGTATCAAATCAAAATCTATCCATTATTTTAAAGAGGATTGCCCTAGGCAAAATTCATCTCATGTTTTAACCTATTCTAATGTTTTATTCATTTGTCTCTTGGTATATACATTTGGGATTTCGACTGACATTTTGGAACCATTTGAGACTTGAAACTTTTTAAGATTTTGGAGGAATACTATGAAATCTTGAGTCTTGAGGTGAGATTTGAAGTGGTATTTCGTACATGGTTTTTAGCAAATCTTAAAAAGTCTTAACAAATTCTAGTCTTAAAAAGTTTTTAGCAAACCTCAAGATTTTGTAAGACTAAAAATTTCAAACGAATACCTCAAGACTTTTAAAAGTCTTAAAAAGTATAAATTAGATACACTGGGATTTCTAAAGTCTTAAAAGTCTTTAGAAATCCCAAACATTATAATACATATTGTCTTCTTATAAATGGCACCATCTTTTCCAAGGATAAAGGTTTGGTTTGAACCAGAGTTAGGTCTCCATCTCCTTATAATGTTGCTAAGCCATTTCAAATCACATTTTTTATTTTTCTAATTCACATTTACTCATACTGTACATATTCATTCCTCAAGGTACCGTGCTATCACGAGTGCCTACTACCGCGGGGCTGTGGGGGCCCTGCTCGTGTATGATGTCACCCGCCACGTCACCTTTGAGAACGTGGAGAGGTGGCTCAAGGAACTCCGGGACCACACGGACCAGAACATTGTTATAATGCTCGTCGGCAACAAGGCAGACCTCCGCCACCTCCGAGCAGTCTCGACTGAGGATGGTCAGTCCTTTGCTGAGAAGGAAAAAACCTACTTCATGGAGACATCTGCACTCGAGTCCTTGAACGTTGAGAACTCATTCACGGAGGTTCTCACGCAAATCTACCATGTCGTTTGCCGTAAAGCACTTGATATTGGAGAAGACCCCTCGGCTCTGCCCAAGGGGCAGACTATAAATGTGGGGACTAAAGATGATGTGTCGGCTGTTAAGAAAGTCGGTTGTTGCTCTGTATGAATTTTTTGGAAAAAGATTGATGATCGTCAAGTGGGCCCGGCCCGTTTGGGTTTCTTTTTTTACGATCCGGGGTGAAATTGGGTGGAATCTTTTGCAGCTCTGTCGGTTTTGGAGGTAAGACAAGCTTGTTCGTTGTTTTCTTCAGAACTCACTTTTTTTTTTCTCTCTTTTTTAACCACAGCATTCCTTTCATATGTATTGCTGTGGTCATGACTTTGGTGAATCTTTATGCTGTATTATCATGTTGCATTTATTAGTTTCGATCGTCGACATTTTCTTTAAGCCTTCGACATTTGTTTCGTTGTGAAATATTGATTATTTATGCTGTGTGATTTCTGCATTAATTAGCTGCCAATGTCATGTACACTAGATTGGTTTAAAGTAGAATTAAAATGTATGTATAATATCCACAAGAGGAAGCAGTTGAATGGTTGTGTGAGCTTGTGTTTTTGCCTTCCTTTTTCACTAGCGTTCTTTTCATAATTCTTGAAAGATACTTCCAAAATTTTTTTAAGGACTTCTATTGTTTTATAGATTACAGGAACTTTGATGTTCAATTAAATAAAAATACAACTGCCTCAATATAAAAGGGGAGAAAACAACCAAACAAAAAATGGGGATGGTCACAAAACCGCGGCCTTAGCGGCCTTTATTTAACAATAAAATAGAGGAAAATGTTACAATCCCGTTGCAGATCCATTCCGTTGAAGTGTGTAACCGTTAGATCATCATGTAACCGTCAAAGATAGTTGATCTAACGATTACAAACTCCGACATAATGGTTTCGTAACGAGACCGTAAATATAGAATGTTAGTTTTTATGAAAAATATTTATGAATCTCATAAATATTCATCTTCTTTCTTTTTTTCTTGAAAAAAAAATTATATGTTTCAAACACCTTAGACAATATTTCTACGGTTCTACCCCAACTGACACTCAATATAAAAGGGGAAAAAATAACCACAATAATCGGGAGATGAAAAAGGGAATTAGAGTTCAACCACAAAACCTCAAATCATCAGTTTGCTTACTCCAAATAGGCCTATTCAATTGGAAGTCCGTCTTTATAAACAACAAAATTACGTTTGTGCAATATTAGTGATATAATACAATCACCAGAGTGTCAAGACATAAAAACAAGAAATGGCCACTTAAACTAGAACCTGTATAATTTGCCATGATGCACAACATAATAGGCAATTTTAGTCTAACAATTGTAAAATCTGTACAATATTTAGAGGCAGATTGCACCGGCCAACAACGAATACTGTCTACATGTATGTACAATTGTACATAAATATAATACACGAACGAGAAAAGTTCACTCGTCGATTATATATAGAATAATTAGTAAATAGAACCAAATCAATGTTTTCCTTTTACAAGTTTTTCATTCTTTTGTTGAAATTGTTATTTCAACATCAAATCCTTCCCCTTGCCACGCAAGGCGGTGGATTTGCACACAGGGCAAGTGTTCTTCACGACCAACCACTTTTTTATGCAATCTTTGTGGTATTCATGGCCGCAGTCGAGCACTCCAATACGTTCCCCGTACTCGTAATCCATCTGCATATAGAAGCTCGAATTAATCACAAGTTACCAAAAAAAAAATAAAAATTCACCAAGTTATTCATCAAATTCCACGTGATATCAAAACAATTGAACATGTACAATTCTGCAAATATGTGGAATATAGATACTACATACTACAGAGATAAAGAATATTCAACTTTTATACAATACCAATAAGCTTTTCATTATTTAGAAGAAGCTTTCCAAAATTTAAAGTGCGCGGAAAATGCAAAGATTGCGCAAAACTGTTTTGTCTATGTGCTGTCATTCTGACTATTCAACTTTTTGTGCTTTGCTTTCCCAAAACTACACAAAAAGAATTAAACAACTGTGTAGGCATGTATTTAATTCTTTTCTAGTAACACACTTGTTTAAGTAAAATAGAAAAAAATCTATTTAGTCTGTTTTCGATTTGAGATGGTTAAATGAAAATATTGTGCAAAATTTTGGCGGGGGAGCGCATCTTCTATACAACCTTCGCACAAGCGGGTCATATGGTAGAATTGCAGAAAAATATTTTACCAACAATCTCTTGATTAAAGGATTATTTTTCCCTCAACATCAAATAAAAAAAAAAAGAAAAAAAAAGTTACCTGGCACACAACACAAAAGTTGATTATCTCCTGATCGGGGCACGGTTCAACTTCTAGATTTATACAAGCTGGTCTTGAGCTATAGCTTCTTGTTCTCAAATTGTATTGAATGAACTCCTCAGATAAACCAGTGCCCACACTGCCTATTTGTTCTCCCAAAGCCAGAAGCTCCTGTCGTATGATCTCAAAATTAAAACTTTGGCATTAGAAGGCCGGCATAAATTAAATTGAAAAATAAAAAAACAGACGAAAATAAAAAAGAAAGAAAGATTGACTAGTTTTAAGATAAATACGCGCAAAAAATACACAGAAACTACAAACGCCCCAAAACTTGATAAATTGGACGAGCCATCAACAAATGCCAGAGAAAACTTTTAAGACACAACACAAAATATCTCACTTACCTCATATGACATGTGATCGATATCTAGTCGCATGTCCCTGTGCTGATCGATCGACTCTCCTGCTACATGATATCCAGGAATCTCGAGCATAGCAACCTCCTACATAAATATGTAATAAGCAAATCCCAATTTTCAAAGTAACAAAATACCCTTTATTATTCAAAATTTAAAACTTTGATCTCAATAGTCATATTCTTTAAAAACATAAGAACTTCAAGTAGGATTTTTGCAACATTCAAGTAGGATACTTATCTACTTTCTGAAAGATAATAGGGTCTATCCTTTCCTCTTGTAATTAGATCAAACATCACAAGTCATTAATCATTTTGACACAGTAGTGGGGGGAATAAGAAAATTAGTAAATTACATCTTCTGGCAATACTCTCAACTGGGGAAAGCCTCGGTGCCTCACGTTCGGGTCGAGCATGATTTCCCCATGGTGGGCCCTATAGATCTGGAAGCCCGTAGGCACGATTGGAGCTAAAAATGAGGGGCCGGCTTCCACAACATCCTGGAAAGGACCTGCTGCGGTGGCATTCGAATACCTAACCATTGGGATTCCACGTGAAGGCGTGACCATTTGAGATGGGTGGCCCACATTGTATCCTCTGGGCCTTTGCATATGTTGGCCTGGCTGAGTACTCGGGTGGCTCTGAGCCACTGGAGGATGCACAAAACCTGCACCTCTGTTAATGGCCGCCACTGGATAGCCTTGTACGCCTGTATTCCCCGATTCGACACAAGCCCCATTGGCATTAGCTGTGTGACAATAAATGAAGGATCCCGAATCAGAAAAATAATTGCAAAACTACCCCCGAGCTTTCCTAATATTCCCAAGAACTCCAACACTTAAAGATAGAAATCCTGAAGGAGTGATTGTTCAAAAAAAAAAAAAAAGAAAGAAAAAAAAGATGAAATACTTCAAGATCCAATTTTGAAACTTCTCAGGGTTTTCCGACAATTAACCCATTATCTGAGTATAATTTTTTGCACTAACGAAATCACTCAATCTACTCGTGGTAACATCACCAAATAAAGATCATAAATGAAGACAAGAAGATATTTAATTTACCATGCACATACGGCAAGTTATGAGCAGGCTGTCCCCAGCCTAGAGCGCCCATATCACCATTGTTCCCTCTAAAATTCATATCCAACCAAGGATTACCCGGCAACTGAACAGGTGGCACGACGTAATTTCCTTGCACTACATTCGCATTATTATGCACCCGCACAGGATCGGGCCCCACAACACCAGCTCTGTTCCTCACACTTCCCATGGACCCGCCACTCTCGATCAAGTCACTCCCGGAGGAATATTCCGGTGGCAGAAACAGAGAGGCTTCCACCCGAGCAACATCCACAGACAAACTAGGACCCACCTGAGCATTTTGGTACTGCTGATTGGAGGATGACCCCTCGGCATTCTTTCTCTTGAACTGCTCCCTAATAATACCATCACCATAGGCATGATTTGCTGGAACGGGAAAATCTCTAATGCCAGCTGGCAGTGTTAAGTACGGATTATTGTTATAATGGGTGGTGGGTGGGGGGGTTATGTTGAGGTCAAGGTTGTGTTGCGGCCCAGCGGGGTTGTAGGGGCCACCCATGCCGTAGAACAAGGGATTCTCGTGGTGTTGTTCGGGGACGGGATGAAAATTGATATTCTGGTGGGGGTAGTTAGGTAAATTTGAGTAGACGATGCACGGCTCGGGATGGAGATGGCTGGGGTGGTGATGGCCTTGATCGGCTTGCATCTCAATCATATGATTATTGAACTGAATGTTTCGATGACCCATTTTGCCTGAGATGTCTGTATTGGATGAGAAGCTCAAGAATAATTCGGAAGAACATAAAAATTGCTTTTATAAAAAAATTGCCATCACACACACACAGAGAGAGAGAGAGAGAGTTTTCTCTATCATAGTTTGCCAACAAAACTGCTGTTATAAAAAAAAATAAAAAATAAAAAATAAACTTTTCCGCTTTTCTAGGAAAAAGATATTTCCATCAGTAAGAGGGACAATGCTAATGAGTGAATATCTACAAACCCCACGAGATATACATCACTACTTTCACAATAATAAGAACAACAAGTTGGTATACAAACAAAAAGGAGAAATAACGAGGAAAATAAATGAACATAAGAAACTTGTAATTAGAACAAGTCTTAATTTCCTTCTCTTAACAAATACAGAAAGTCAGCCCTCAAACAGGCTCCTGCCTCTTCCAGCATTTTCCGATCAACAAGATTGTATTACAAATTCTGGTGAGTAATACTAACCTTAGGTTTTGCAAAATAACAAAAGCTATTAGTTCAAAACACCATAACCATAAGAGAAGAAAGGTAAGAAAACAGCTCAGTTTTAGTAGCCAATAAGGTCAATGTAACAAAACCAAAAAAATATGACAAAAGGAACAAAAGTGAAGAAAATTTATTTTTTCTGGGATAATCATGAAATACTTAACTCGCATACAAAATGAACCAAGCTTTCAAAAAGTAAATGAGACCAACAATTAAAGACTGACGAAAATAAAAAGGCCTTACACCCGAAAATCCCAACAATCGACTTCTTTCAGAGGATTATTGCACAAAAATTGGCATAAATGAAAATGAAAAGGCCTTACAAGAGAAAGGAAAGATCTAGAATCACATAACACTTTCCAGAAATGAAAAAAATTATGATAATTTGAAGAAAGTAGCATTTACATTACAATTAAGCACATCTGTCGGGCCTAGAAGCCGAGAAATGGAATGTGACAGTAAATGCACTAAGATTGAACCGTGGGACCCAACACCGCCTAACGATTAATGTCCTCGCCACTCCACTAACGCATATATCGACACGTACACCCATGATCAACCGCAGAAAATAACTATGACATGGCACAAACATTGATGAAGATTTCAATTAAGTCAAAATTCCATAAACTCAACTATGCAGATCAGTATGAAAAAGAGATATCTGATACGATTCCGCCAAATAAAGATGAATTAACTGCCATATCCTGCAAATAAGAAGCTAGAAAGCACCAATTCAATCAGGGTAAACATAACAAACCATTTCATTATTATAATTAAGGTTTATTATCCTCCTCACACAAGCATTCAAGCAAAATACACCAAGCAAAAAGAAAAAAAACCCATCAACAACAAAAAATTGGGTAATCCGAAATACAAGCAACCTAAAACAGGAGAATGAAGAATACACACAATAATTAAATTTATTTATTTATTTATTTATTTATTTTTATAAAAAAAGAGAACACTGGGGAATTAAAAAGAAAAAAAAAATGTAAAATTAACCTTGTTATCATGAAAAAGCTTCGAGCTTTGCCAAAGGTCCAACCTTTTAGACTCTAGCAGCAAATTCAATTCAATTACTTGTAATCCCTGCAAATTTGTGGGGCAAAAAAAGTAGAAAAAAGCAAAAACCCTAATATTGAGACACGCAATAGAAGTGATCAACGATCATCGGAACTACAATCAAACAAAAACCCACCAAGATTATGCCGTCAAAAGAGAAAAATGTATGCATTGCATGTACGAATGAGTGCTCACGAATCAACTCTAACGATAATCAGAAAAAAAAAAATCATTAAAAAAATCAAAAATTATAAATTCACACATGACCATAATTACAGCAAATACTAACCTACTTGAAGAATGAGGAAGGAAAATGAATCAGGGATCTGATGAAAAAAAAAAAAA